CCCTACACCCGCTGACCCGTAACGTCCGTTGGAATGTATGTAACGAAATACAAGCAGCCCACATTCAGAGTACTTGGAGACTAGCTGAGGCTGAATTCATCATTATTAATAGGAAAAACATAAAACTGTTTCACCTCACGATTTCTGGTGATAGAAAGACTGTTTTTTTTTTAAACTTATATTTCACGTATTTGTTTGGATCCCGCTGCAGTTCGGACAAATGAACGCTGTCACGCGACAACATTTCCAAGATTCAACTCTCCTTAGCCGGATGGTAATTTCGAGTTATTCTCTTTTTCTGCGAATCTTTCATTTTCCTTTCTCTTTTAATTCTATATACTTCTATTTAGGATGGTTTTGAGCGCATAGCAAGGCTTAAAGTGGCGTTTACCACGCTATCCTTGGCCATATTGGCAACAGAGAAGTGTTTCGCCGAAGTGGCAACTTAACGGTAAATACGGTAACTTTGAACGGTTTTTACAACGTTAGTATACTTTGGCCGAAAAATGTTTTTCCGAAAACGTGATGTATATCCCTTCAATGTCTGATTCATCACTGTGATTGCTTTCAGCAGCGTTGGACTTTTGAGAAATTATTATTTTAAAATCAACTCTAACGCTCCATCTAATTATTTTAATATGCAATATTTGAAAATTTTTTTTTTATTCCCTTCGGCAGTTTTTCGATGTGTATCGAATGATATTGCATTAAAAGGCCTTTTTCTTCATCACTGTGTGGTTTTCTCGTTGTTTTGCGTCGCGATAGTGATTTCTGAACCGTTTTTTGTGAGAGCTTATTTTAGGCCTGATTTTGCTGTTACAAGACGGAAAAAGTTTGCGGCTCGATATTTTTGGTTTAAAGCGAAACTGAAACCAAAGAAATCCATTTTTGAATAGTATTCGGTAACCTCTACTCGGGAGATAAAAATTGGGCGATTTTATTTTTTAGCCGGAAATCATCGGTCGTTTCTTAGGCGCAGGGCCTCTGAATTACTGTACGGAAATGAGAATGAAGTGCACGCATTAGTGAGGTTGGCTTTCTACGAGAATCTCTTGATTAATGGGCAAGAATCATGTGTCTGTTGTCCGCATGAACGAGTGTCTACATTACATTTAAGACGCCCAATCAGGGCTTCAGGAGGGTTACGTACGTCCCTAGTCTAAATTTCAAAACCAGCAGTTGTTTTGCGTTTTGAGGAGGAAGCCATATCGCTGTCACAGTTTCAACCCATCGGGTTTGGGTCGTTTGTCACCATTTCTGTTCCAATGTCGCTGTTTCAAGGCCATGTCGCTTGTCAGAATTTACCCTAACTAGCTGGGCTCCTGCCCTAACAGGACCTCATTTCAGTGTGTATGAATGTAAAGGAAATGTAAGGGCCTTCCCCAGGGACAAAGAAAACTGACCGTATCATAGTGACGTCAAATTACTTCATTGTGTCATTCAAGTTAGACCTAGATGTTGGAAATGTTGAGTACATCGTGTCATTCTTTGTAATTTTGTTGGCCGTATCATGAACAGTTTTATAGTTCATGTTCGGCTGTTATCTGTAGAAAACGAAGCGCTTTTAAAATTAAATAAATTTTAATTGTCTTTAAAAACGTGCCTGAAATATCATGGGGATAGCTTCGGCTGATGTAGAAAGAAGGACTTGATTAGTATGTACCGAAGCGCTCTCTTTTGTAAACACTTTGGTCTTCTTAAAAAAATAAGCGAATAATTTTGAAACCGCTGGATGGATTTTCTTTTAATTTCAAATTCTCGAGATTAACCGTCTTTTCAGGTATTACCGTTAATTGTCAAGATTATTGATATCTTGTAAGGCAGTAAAATACGAAGGGCTGCGGCGACCTAAAAGGTTTGACAAAAGGAGGCTCTGATCGCCGCGTGGAGTCCTCATGTTACCAGAGATGATTTTCTTGTTACCATGGAAAGTCTTTTCTAAATTTAGGTGGCCTTTCTTTTGTCTCTGGTACAGTCGACTCTTTCTGAACGGAATTTTCTATTAGACGGATATCCCGGTAAAACGGACATCTAGAGTTAGTCCTTTCCTTTCTCTGATCCCCTAATTTGACAGTTTATAAGACGGACATCAGTCTTAAACAAAGAGTCAGTGCGCGCCCCAAAGTTTCCTCTTAGAAAAAGTTTACTCTTGCCTGAAGCTCCTAGTGGCGTCAATTGTGTTTTGTTGTTGTTGTTGTTGTTTTGTTCTGGAGAAGCAGTTTTGAACCTGGTAAGGGGAATCTTCTATACGTGAATGATAATATGTTATTTTATGAGCAGCTAGGAGAATGGACATTTGCTCTGCATTTTTAAATATGACCAGACTTATTGTCTCGACTAGCAGCTTATACCTCACATTCGATAATTAAATAACCTTAAAGGTCTGGATAGGTATAAAGCACTTATCAGATAAGGAGGAGATGCCTTTTGAGTGTTTCGGCGTATCTTCTCATAAGGAAGTAAATGTATTGAGAAACTGATTAACCACCCTTAGAAAAAAAAGTCGCCCAAAAAGATAAATTCAGCTCCCTTAAATAACGTAAGCCGGCCATCTCTTCACCCTCGTTTTGCGCTCTAACAGGTTAATTTTATCGTGATGGGACTTCATATTTAGTTTTCCATTTAATAAGTTTTAGACACTTAGGAGACCTGAAAAAAGCATAAGAGAGCTTTAGCAGTTTTGTCATCAGTCAACTATTTTCTCTGGTCACGCATAAAACTTGCATACAACATATGATTTAAAATAAAGGATCAACAAGACCCTTTAAATGTGAAAAACAACTGTTTTAGTCAGTTTTCTAATTTTTAGGTCTTCCCTGCTTATTCTTGGGAGCGTGATGCCTGCAGTCTAAAGACTGCTTAATCGTTGATTAAGCGGTATTAAGATGCACCTCGGTCAAAAAAGCTGTAGAATGAAAATGTCTTGTCAAACCTGGTCTAACCGGGAATAATAAAAAAATATATTTACTATATTATTATTATATTTACTATGCATACTAGGCGCCGTAAAATAATTTATCGTTTTTAGTGACGAAATCTCACGCTTTTAGAAGGCAAGCAGTATTGGAAGCCGTAATTTACTATTTATTTAAAAACTGGTTTTAATTAAGATGTCAACACTGAGTGGAAATAAAAACCGTCAAGTGGTTAATAAAATGATTTACTTGTGAGTTTTTACTTTTTTACTACATGTGTGGCTAGATTCTCCGAATATCGCGTACATGTTGGATTGAAAAGTCTGAAACTGGATTTCCAATGTATGCAATTAAGCTAGGTCTTAGCTGTGAGAAGATGATGTTTATGTTAATTTAAAGCCTGACAGCGTGCCGTTTATTCACTTTACATGCGGAAGTTGGAATGCAGGGTTTCACTAAAGGGGGTAGCCCCCGTAGCAGGCGTTAAAAGGGAAGGAGAAGCAGGAATTCTGGAGCCCGCGGGAATGTTGAAAACGGGAACCTTTTCTCCTCTTTTCCCTTTTTCTCCCTCCTCGCGCGCCCCTCGCGCTCTCACGCGCCCAATTCCCGCGTTCTCCTTCCCCTTTAAAAGCTGCCACGCAGGCTACTCTAAGGGGATTAAGCCCTTCTATTGTTACAGTGGTTTCTAAAAGGTTGTGGTTGTGTACATTGGCTTGCACCTCACACAAACTGCAAGCAAATGTGACGACATGAAGAAAGTATAATATCGAAGGTCAACCTTTGGAAACTGTTTATGTGAAGATTTAGGATTGTTTACTGCTGGTGATAAAATAACTGCTAAGGCTAATAGAGTTTTAGTGTTGGTTAAAAGGACTTGCAGGGACTTAAAGGACATTGATACTATGAAAACACTTTATTGTAGTCTTGTGAGACCTTTATTAGTATATTCATGGAAAACTTTTTTTTTTTTTTTTCCATGGGAAACTTGGAAGCCTCATACTAAAGGTAACATTGATAAATTAGAGGCTGTACAGCGAAGAGCCACCAGATGGATTACTAGGTCTGATGATGATTACGATACTAGACTATCTAAGTTAAAATTGTTCTCATTATTTAATAGGAGGTTCATTAGAGATGTTACGTAATTGATGGACATTATGATGCAGGCATTTCAAACAAGCTCATATTTTGTAAGGACAGAAACACAGGTTTTGACTTGTAATGAGGAAAAATGAAACACATGACCTTGATTATAGCCATTGATTTATTATGTGTTCCAAAACTGGTTGAAGATATCAACAAGCGGAATAAAAACTGCTGTCACTACTCCATTGAACACGGTGAATAAACATTAAAAAAAGGATTAACTTTTGTACTTCTTATTTTGGCTTGCACCCAATGAGAGAACTTTTGTCTTCAATCCGGATTTTGTGAGTGGGTTTGTTTATTTCGCTCTCTGATTTCGCAAGGAAAATTTGTCGGTGAGGCTAGATTCTAATTTCGTGTGGGAGAAAAGTCGAAAGTGACAGGAGGACGGCAAACGACAGATTCAAGTTGAAAATGTCTCAAAACAGAAAATGAGCAGATGAAGACAGCTCAAAACAATTCTAATCTATTGGATAGAAAATTCCATGAAACTACTAACAAGTGTGTAAAATTAATGAACAGTAAACGACAAGTAAAGTGGAATTGGTCAAGTGGTACAAATTCGCGTTGCCCGTTTGATAAACGTGATGCTTACACTGGACGAAAAAACGGATTTACTAATGTTTGCGAAAGGTGCAAATATGTGGTAAATTTGGAGCTCCAAATTTGCATTACATTTGCGCTGTCGGCTAAGGTGTGGGCAAATACATATATTTGCTAGATAGGTATTGATACGCAAAAGTGAAGTAAATGTAATGGTTTGATACAAATTTGATACATATTTGCAGCATGGGCAAATCTTCAACATTTCTACCAGTTTACTCAAATTTACATCCTTGGCAAAAATGACAGTTTTCCCTTTACTTCAAATGCAGGCAAAAATATTGCAAAACCCCTAATTTGCAGTGGTATTTGCTCTTGTTTTTCCAGGATACCAAAAGAACACTTTTGCATGTGGTTTACTCGTATTTGCCTTAAGAGCAAAAACAATAAACTTCTAGACATTTGGCTGTATCATAAATTTGCACATTTGCATCATAATTATCCATATTTGCAAGGGGAGCAAATATAGTGAGCTGCATAACATTTGCTGACAGTCAAAGGTGATGTGCATGTGACATTTCCTATATGTTTGATCCGTTTTGTGACTAAAGTAAATTTCCAATCTCAACTGTAACATTACATTGTTACAACAAAATTTTGTACTCGCTGTGAGACTCCGCCCAGAGGTCCAACCCCTTACATGCATCTTTCCTGTTAACTGTTTTATGTGCACTGTCATGTTAATATAAAGGAATCAGAAACCAGTTAATTTTTTTTTTTCAATTTTACATTCACAAATTTCTTCTGTTAGTCTTTTTACAGAACAAAATGACAGATAGTCTACCCTGTCACATACTTTAACTCAGGAAATCCCTATCCTTTCATACCTGAAGCATGAAAAAGGTGTCCCTTTCTGACAGCGCCCCTGGCATAAACCTTTCCTGGGCTACTAATTTAAAGCAAATACACTAATTCAAATCCACTCGTTCTTAAGGTCCAGTAGTCAGATCATTGATGCACTGTATTTCCTACAGTCAGGGCCATAGCCAGTATGAGGCAAACCGAGGCACTTGCCTCTGTCATTTAAGGTTTGATCTTGGCAGTGTTTGGTTTCAACTTAGCCATCATAAAGACCCTGAATAGCTAGGCGGGGAATTCAACCATGGATATTGCCTCAGTCCTTATTTTTTTCTGTCTACGGCCCTTGAACTTGGGATACAAGGAGGATCTACAGGAGCTACCGGTCGAATTGTCAAATCCTACCTGACAAAGCCCCAACCCCCCCCCCATAAACAATGAACAGACCTTTATTGGGTTACAGGATCACAGGAGCTCTGAGTTGGCCTTAGATCATGAAAAGTCTAGAGCTGTAAAGAAAAAACTAAGGTGGTGAAACAAATTAACATGCAGCCTTTAAACTTCTGGACTGGGTTGCTCAAAGATGGGTTAAGATAACACAAGGTTAGGTCCAGTGGTCAGATCATTTACTGTATTTTTTGTACATCACACTAAAAAATCAAATTTGGTCCGAAATAAAAAGTTTTGTGGATTTCAAACTCAGTGTTGTGATTACTCACTTGTACATAATTTCCTCATGGCCATTTAACCAACAAACTTAATTCAATTTAAAACCAACAATTTTAGTTTAACCAGTATTTGTTGTAGTTTTGACTGCCCACCTAGAGATGACCACATCTCGATGGCCGGCTTCCTAAAAATGACCACATTTTGAAAACCCAACAGCCAATACTACAACAAAATATGGTGAAACTGCTCACAATTTTATTTGAACATTAACTCAGCTGACAAATTTATGAAAGGCTAATTTTTCTTACTTTGTTGTTTGCAACCCCGAGTTTGAGTTTCACTGATTTTAATGTTGATTTTGAGTTTTACTGTTCATTAAGTACTACCTATTCAATCCAAAAAGTCATAGCATTTTTTGCTGGCTAGAATTCACCTGAAGCCTAGTTATTTGCTTGGGATACAAGGAGGATCTACAGGAGCTACCGGTCGAATGGTCAAATCCTACCTGAAAGGCCCCCCCACACAATAAACAATGCACAGATCTTTATTGGATTACAGGAGCTCTGATTTGGCATTGGATCATGAAAAGTCTAGAGCTATAAAGAAAAAAACTAAGGTAGTGAAACAAATTAACATGCAGCATTTATCCTTCTGGACTGGGTTTGCTCAAAGATGGGTTAAGATAACACAAGGTTGGGTCCAGTAGTCAGATCATTTACTGTATTTTCTGTACATCATACTAAAAAATCAAATTTGGTCCGAAATAAAAAGTTTTGTGGATTTCAAACTCAGTGTTGTGATTATTCACTTGTACATAATTTCCTCATGGCCATTTAACCAACAAACTTAATTAAATTTAAAACCAACAATTTTAGTTTAACCAGTATTTGTTGTAGTTTTGACTGCCCACCTAGAGATGACCACATCTCGATGGCCGGCTTCCTAAAAATGACCACATTTTGAAAACCCAACAGCCAATACTACAACAAAATATGGTGAAACTGCTCACAATTTTATTTGAACATTAACTCAGCTGACAAATTTATGAAAGGCTAATTTTTCTTACTTTGTTGTTTGCAACCCTGAGTTTGAGTCTCACTGTTCATTAAGTACTACCTATTCAATCCAAAAAAAGTCATAGCATTTTTGCTGGCTAAAATTCACCTGAATCCTGGTTATTTGATCTTGGGATACGAGGAGTGGGGTTGTGGCTTCCCCAAAAAATTCTGATGAAGAGAGGGTCTTCATATACAGGAGCTACCGGTCAAATCCCACCCAACAAAGCCCCCCCCCCCACTCCTTAAAAAATGAACAGACCCCTACTGGGTTACAGGAGCTCTGAGTTGGCCTTGGATCATGAAAAGTTATAAGCTATAAAGAAAAAACTAAGGCGGTGAAACAAATTAACATGCAGCATTTATCCTTCCAGGCTGGGTTGTTTAAAGCTGGGTTAAGATAACCCAAGGTTAGTACGAAATATGAATTCAGATATGAAAGTTTTAAAAACAAATTCATTTGAATTCCTTTTGTCTACAATTTGGTGATTTGATACTTAAAAAAAAAGGAAAAATTATCTAACAAAATGCTTTTGATTAAAAGGAAAAAGAAACGCAGGTTAAAATCTAACACTGGGCTAGTGCTAATCGGTCTTTGGAACAACTGGGCCCCGGTCTTTTTTTAGGTCCAATTCTAAATCACATAACCACTTCGAAGTGAGTCAATGGTACATAACCTGGGCATGTGTTACATACCCCTTCTGTCATTTGATAATAGTAAAGCCTAGGGTCGCACAATGGGCAGGGATCTCCAATTACTAAAACTAAAAATTCAAAATGACACAGTAACTGTTGTATACAGTTACAGAGGGCCCACACTACCTCCCCTTTACATTAAGTAAATACACTACAACAAATCTACTGGACAAAGGTCCAGTAGTCAGATCATTTACTGTATTTTTTCTACATCATAATATTATTATTAAAAAGCTAACAATAACAAGGCCACCCACAGTACCTTAAATTTGGTAAAAAAAAAAAAAGGTTCTGTGCATTTCAAAGTCAGGGTTGAGATTATTCACTTGTACACAATTTCCTCATGGCCATTTATTCAAGAAACTTCACATCAAAACTGACAATTTTGTTCTTACCGCTATTTGTTCTAGTTTTCACTGACTATACCTAGAGATGACCACATCTTGATGGTAAGCCTCCTAAAAATGACCACATTTTGAAAGCCCAACAGCCAATACTACAACAAATGGTGAAATTGCTTTGTATTTCATATCATTTGTGAATAGAAACTCAGCACAGACATGAATGAATAATTTCTTTCCTGCTCTTTACAACCCTGATTTTGAGTTCAATATGATTTGTCTTTTTAAACTGCTCAAACAGACTGGTGAGATTTATATCAGCCTTCACTCAACAACAATAACATCAGGTGCATTTCTTCACTTAAACCTAAACTTCTTAGACCAACAGGGTTTACACCATCAATATTATTATACTCTTTTACTAAATGAGCCGAATTTTAATAGATTTATTTAGAAAAGGAATTCACCCAGTAAGATGACTTTTTGATTTTCCTTTTTAAATAGGAATATGATATTTTATAATTGCTGGACAAAAAAAAGGTTCCAGCTAAAAATTTGTTTTGAGCAGTGACAGTAAATCTCAACTTTGGATCTGTCTGAAGGCATTTTCTTTGCCCTTCCACAAAATCACTCTCTACTTTCACTTTGCCAGAAACTTTTGCCATGACTTAGTAACGCCAAGTGAAAACATAATATCTGAGGCATATTTCTTAAGCTATATGTCAGTGCTAGTGAGCAGTCATGGACTGCTGTTTTGAAGGGGCATCCGATAGCAAGATAGCCTTTCCAAAATCAATGAGCATTGGGTGGTACATATTGTTTACCTCTGTAAGAATAATGTTGTCACTCTTTATATCTCTGTGGGGAAACCTCTATGAGTGCAAAATTAATGTTCTATAGCTTCACACAATTTCAGTACATTATGTTCCCGCAGAGCACTGTGAAAGGGACATGGATTTCCTTAGCAGGGCACCGCACAAAGAACAAGAAAAATAATATTGTAAAGATGGTAAAAATATAACCCAAGGAAGTACATGTGAGGTTTCTGTTTTGTGACATTTACCCCAAACAGATGGGGTATTGATGGATGGGAGCATTCAGTATATAAGCTTCAATTCTGTCATCTTGTGAAGAGGAAAAAATGATTACTGTAAATAAATTGAGACCCACTGGAATACCCCTGTAGCATTTCTTCATGCACAGACCACAAACAGCTTCCCCATGCTGAACCTGTATTTCATTGACCTCTTTATCTTTTGGAGAGTTCAAGTGATGCAACTCAATTTCAAGAACACTGGAAATAACTCCTGTACCACTCAAGGAAGAATCTGAAACAAATACACAAAAAAGTCACTAAACCCACTAAAAATAACTGTTAACTCTACCTTTATTGATAATATTGTGAAATTAAATGAATTATGTTACTTGTGTTGCCATTATCTTTATGAACATTATAAATACACATGTGGCACATTTTAGCATTTTTGACCTTTTGACTCAGCTTACATGTACAGCTGTATCATTATAAACTATTATAAACAAAACAACCTTGTATATGAAAACATGACAAAACAAAACAGAAAAAAATGACAGTAACGCATATAAAATAAAGGCTCCACCCTACCCCTGTCAAAATCAATGGTACATGTACAGGTATTACGCTCAATATGTCAATATAGCGCCAGAGGTAGTATAAATTACTCAAGCAATTAATCTTGAGCTACTTCTGCCAAATACCAATAAATTAGCATTTTAACATTGCATAACTACATATTTTGCTGACTTAACACCACTTAAATTTTTCAACAAGGCTTTTTTCAGCTGGATCACTACAATACGCACGCGACACGCGTGCTCATACATGCTACAAATGTAAATATGGATGCAAATGTAGTTTATTCCCGGTTATAACATAGATGTGGCAGTAGAAGCACGATATACAAAGCAAAATACATCGACTTTACCTTTTAAATTTCGAATATCCTTGAGAAGAAATCCAGCAACATAGGCAATCTCTTCTCCCGCCAAATCGCCAAAAGACCGCGCGCCTCCGCGCGCCCGATTTCCCAAGCATTTGCGCCTCAGTGGTGCTGGTCAGCGACAGTCTGCAGAACCGTTCGAGAACGAGGCACAACAATTGAAATTCGTCGACCGTTAACACGTTCCACTGCCATCGATTTGCCATCAGCTTTTACTTCGTACGTTTAACGCCATATTTATCAAGAGGTTTCGAATTTTCCTTCTTTGTGGGGTTGACTGTCGAGTATGGAGGAATCGGCCAGTCTTATTTGTTCGAATTTATCGAACGAATGTGTCCTCGAAGAACTTATAAAAATAATCGCTCGAACTCGAGGGAACTGCATACTTATAGATCCTTCGACGAAAATCCACCATGAAAGGCATCTAGATAGCTCCATCGGCGACGATCAAGTAGTAACGAGTGGATCCAAGAAAGCAGCCGTTAGTACTTAGTAAATAGACTTCGGTGAATCGATGCTGTTTTAATTAGCAGACATTGTAAAACTAAGAAGAGGCAGGAGAAATGTTGAGGACAAACAAATGCTGAGGGAGCAACTAATCGGGAGTAAAAGAAATGCTCAGTAAGTATAAGAAAGTTCGTTGTTACTGTTAAGCCATTAATGATGCTATTTGATAATACCTACTGGCTACATTTGCATTCCAATATTCAGTAATCAACAAGGACCACCCCTTCTCCTGAAACTTTATTTGTCCTGTTGTTGTAAAAAATACTGTAATCTTTTGTTTGGTTGTTCTCTTCAGATAAATGGTCTTGGAAAATTTAATAAGAATTGAAGCAAGTGTTAATTCCCCTCTATTAGGCCAAAATTAACCTTATCCTCTAGTGCCTACTTTCTCCAAAGGCTTTTCCAAAATTTAAAAGGGGAGTAAAGGTAGTGACTGCCATGGTGCTGAAAACATAGTGTAGCTAGAATTTAGATCATGGTACCCTGCTTTCACTGATTGTTTTTTATGATCACCCCATGTAAGGGATTCTGGAATCCGGGAAATTTTTGCTTATGGAATCCAGAATTCGGGCAATTTTTGTCGCGGAATCCTAAATTCTGAGCTTTGAAATCTGAAATACAAGTCAAACGATTGGAATCCAGAAACCAAGCAATCCACTGAAAAAGGTTCCGGAATCCGCAGCGTGGAATCCAGAATCTAAAACTGTCTTGGATTCCCTCATATGAGGCAATTATAGTATAATTAAACTTTTGTTCCCAAGATACACTGTAAGTGATGGCAATATTGCAGAAGAAGCAGGTTCATGAAGTTTTAAGTAATATGTCAATAATGTTGTTATGGTAGTGATGTAGTGGGACACTCACTATAAAATTAATACAATGATTTACCTGGAGTCAATTGTCTTGTTACAAAAGGGTTTCTCGCATTCATTTTTTCGTTTTGTTTTTGCTCAAAGAAGGTCTTAGTTTTAACAGGTACAGTGTAATCAGGATTATGATGACCGCTTGGGGTTAGATTTGAGACATGAAAGTTACGAGCCAGCAATTTGTTTAAACTAGTTAATTTTGATATCAGTTAACTCAGGAAATAACTAAGTTTAGTCACCTAGTGTGACTGCAGCCAGTAATAATACATGTAATATCTAATAGCAACCTTTTTTGCTATAAAAGGCTAGAATATTTAGACAGAAAAGGACAATAGTATTTTTCATGACAAGCATCTACAGCTTTAGTTTCAATATTAATGGTCTCAATTATGTATAATTTCTGTTTGTTGCAGAAAAAGCTGAAGAGACAACCCTTTTCCAGTCAACCTCTATTTCGAAGAAGGATTGTTGTAAGTTCAAAGCTTGTATAATTGTGGAGTACATGTCTTCAGAGCAAGGCAATACAGACCAAGGAGATGACAAATCCGAGAAAAGTGCTTTGCAGGAGGCCTCTAGCATGGAGGAGTCAACAACTTAGCCTGTAAAAACCTCTTTGCCAAGCTGAACAGTAAAGCAAAATTAAAACAGTCACATGTAAGCTTGTCATTACTCAATGACAATAGAAAGGACGAATGGCTTCTCCTCAGAGCAGGAGGCACCAGATAATGCTCCTGAATTTGCTTTGTGATAAGGAAATATAAGTTAATCCAAGGCTCTTAAAGAAATTCCAGATTATTTACGACTGGTCATACTTACAGGTACATGTACATGTAGCTCTGCAAATACAGTAATCCTTTAATCACTCTCTGTTTATGACACTCTTTTTTAGAAAAAGATAAATCTGTGTAAACAGTGCAAATCCTGATGGTTTTGATTTGTCCTGAGAATTCTGGTGGCAGGTAGATCAAATTGGTTGATGTGATAAATTTTTCATTAGAATCCTTTGGCTATTGTTTGCAAGTAATGTACCAGTCAGCAGGTTAAAAAGGCCAATTAATGTACAAATGTTTCTTTTAAATCTGTTTGCTTAACTGCAAGCATTTGAGTTCTGCTGGCACCACTTCACAGTACATTTGTACCGATTACAGCAATTGCAACTGACCTGCTTGAACAAAAAAAACAAAACAAATTTAGGTACACCCTGCTTTTTGTCATGATTTGTTACGGAATTTTGCAAAGGATTGCAACATGACTCAAGAAAAAGAGTAATGAGAGACAGCAGTGTAGTTATTTTGCAGGGTAGCCAGATCAACCTTTTGTACTACATGTATATGTATACTGAGTTTAAAATAATTATTACCTTCTTTCACTGGGACCAACTACAGTGACAATGGTAATGTTGACATGCTGTGGAATACTTATAGCTGGTCATTACTTTCATGACCCTCAATTTTCTTAGAACGGGGCAAGTACTAGAAGCTCCGGCTGGTACTTCCTCTAAGAGCATATCCAATACTATACAGGAACCATTAGCAACGAAAATGAAGTTAAAGAAGTCTGATCTGAATTTGAATAGCTGTATGTACCTAAACTATTTCTTAGTTTGCTAAATGCTATAACCCAGTTGTTATACCAGCAAAAATTGTAAATTGGTAGCAAGAATTAGGCCTTTCATTCTGATAGAGCCTAAAGAAAAAAATGCCACCAGAATCAAATTTTGTTTAATTTGTAAATAGCAATAAATGCAAAAATACTAATTATTTATTAAAATGGTGTTTTGAGGGTTCCATTTAGTTGAAACAGGATTTGGTCCTTAGATACAAAAGTTTAAGTAAGAAATAGTCTTGTCATAAGTAAATTAATAATTGGTCCAAGGGTGAAAGGATTTTTAACCTGTTTCTGAGTTGCAAAAACCTAAAGAACTGAAACAGGTTTGAGGCAACTCTGAAACACCTACAGCTGTATGTAGAATATCTTACACATTTAGATGAAGAACACTTTCTTATAATATTAATAGTTAGTAATGATCTGATAGAGCATAGAGTGGAGACAAGTAAACATCAACGAACAGTAAAATTGGGAATTAATATGAAGAGCTGTATGTACAGCTTTATACTGTAGTTTGTAATGTCTGTAATAATGTGTAAGCCACTTTGGTTTATGGAATAAATCATTTAAACATTAATGGAAGGTCACTGCTAGAATTTCTTTCAGTAACTTTAATGTTTGATTAATTATGGCCACTTGTTAAGAACCTGAAGTGAGCCATATTATAATTAAAAATATTTTTAAAATTTTATCGCATTTGCTACAACCCAAGCAAACTCGTTTAAACCTTGGAATTTACATTTGCTACTGGAGAAAACGTGCTCAATTTTATGGGTTTGATGACATTTGCTAACCAAATTAAAGTCAGAATTTGATTACATTTGCTACCTGAGCGAAAAATTGTACAATACTAACAGTTTGATCGGATTTGCCGCCCAAGCAACTTTGTTCAAAACTTGACTTTTGACCACATTTGCCGCTACAAGCAAAATTTTGTGTTTAATCAAATTTGCACACCCTAGAAAATTTGTTCAAAGTTTAGGTTTGCTAACATTTGCTTCGTGAGCAAACATGTTTAATACAAAGAGTTTGGTTACATTTGCCATGCAAAGCAATCTGGTTCAATTATGAAAATTTGATCACCCATGATAACCCAAGCAAACATTGTTCAAATTAGATACTTCGCTCACATTTGCAAAGCTGCGTAAACGTTCTGAAAATAACAGGTTTACATGCGTTTACATCGAAAGCAAAAGCTGTGCAAAACAGCAGATTTGCGCTATCATTTGCGTAATGTGCAAATATAGTTCAAAGAAACATATTTGCCTACACATTTGAACCATCTGCAAAAGACCCTCAAATCCATGGCTGCCCTTATCTTTGCACCAAGATGTAAATGTTGTGCAAATGTGGCATTTACCGTCATTGCTACGGATAGCAAATCTAGTGCAATATCAGTCTTTGCTCTTGCGCAAAATTGTGCAAATGTGGTATTTGCTACACATTTGCTGTAATTTGGCTACCCTAGTAAATCCATTTTTTCGTCCAGTGTTAAACTCTCTTAAAACTTAGTGGACTTCAGGGAGAACTAATGTCCCGGAATATCCTGACTCGCAAAGTTTTAACTTTGACTGAGAAGACCTTATCGCCTATTTTGTTTAGCTTGACTGCAGTGCTTGCAGTTTACTCATTTGATATGCGGAAGTTCAAAGTAGAATACCTCGGAATGAAGGATCAGGGGTTTATTCTAATTAAGCCTCTCTACTTTTAAAGTGCACGTGGTTTCGAAAAAGGTTGCAGTGGTGTACATTAGCTTAACCTGACAGACTGCAAGCAAAAGTGACATATCCCTCTAAGAATCACAAGCGGAAGGCTTTAAAGAAAAAGCTAATTCAAGCTACCTCTACTTAATGAATGTTTTAGATCTCCTTCTATAACGTCCGAAAATCAGATGCACTTTTCTGAAAGTACTCTATCAGCTTACCGTTTACTGACTGTTTCAAAGCCGCAGAAAGAATACTTCCTAAATGTTCCATTAAAGGGATTGCATACGGCAAGCGGGCGCTTTCTAGACATTATCCACACTTGCCACGGGCCACTGCAAAAAACCCCTTAACATTTACTTGCCTTTCGCAAAGAAGTGACAGTTTTCTAAAGAATTATCATCACTGAACCGTTTAACAATTTAAACCACGAAACAACGTGCGTATGCAAGCATTGAATGAAAAAGAGCTGAGGGCAGTTTCCAGGATCCATGTACTGGTTTTCGTCCTTTCAGCAAACGTAATGCATTTGAGGGTGGGGATAAAGCCTTCTTAAACTCAGTGCGTGGAATACTGCACGCAAATAAAAAGAATAAAATCAGCTTTCCTTTGCCAAGAGGGTCATATCTCATGTTTGACCGTCTAAGCTGCCCCAACTAGGGTAAGCAACTAGCATTTGGTAACAGACTTTAGATTATCATTGCTCTTACAAATCTCTATAATTACTGTTATTTATAGGAATATTTTAAAGGTGCTTTAGAAAGAGTTGCGCTCAAAATATTTTGATCAACTATTTTCAGATAGAGCCGTCTTGCACTGCACTCTGGGACCACAGCGGCACACCTTTTACTGAGTTCCTGAAAGCGTGCCTCTATCAAATCCTCTATTAAATTTACATGTTATATGAAATCAATAAAAAGGCAAAAGGACACTGTAATTCGAACAGTGTGCCCAGCTCCATAAGACAGCCAGTTTTCATTAATCTGAATGTAGTGATGAAATACTTGGCAGAAGTCAATGTTCATGAGTCCTTTTTTTCTTCTTGTTAATATGCAAGACATTAAATTCGCTCCTTTGAAGCAAAACATATGATTAAGCACACGCCTACTTAAAGTTACAATACCGTTAAAAGCCAAAGAAAATGTTGTTTTTGAAGATGACTACCACAAAGGTTGTTGAAACGTCTGTTTAATGTCTCAACAGTGACCCCATTCAGGACAACACCCACCCAGACGATCACATTCCACCTACGTTTGAAATGACTCCTGGGCTCAAACATTAACTGTAAATGAAACAATTTCAAATTTGGGTCATGTTGCACTTTCAGTACCCAATCAGCTTGTTTTTACTTGTTGAGAGGATTTGGCATACATGGCTGATTTGTCAAACATTTGGGAACGTTTGTACCGCTATAAAACAACCCATCCAGATGTCGACAGGTCATTTACATCTTGGTTCAGCAGCCAGATGGACATCAGAAAATTTGCTCTTTTTGTCTTTCTCCTAAAACTGGGGATTCTCCCTCTAACAGTAAAAGGTATGCCACTCTTCTTTTCATCGTAGGCCGTTGTAATCTGCATTTGTACGTTCTTATACCTAACAAAAGGCAAATATTACTTTTTTTCTTTTAACATAGTTAAAAATTCTTACAATTTCATCTCCTGAAAATTAATTCATCTCGGTCGGAGACTTTCTATTTTGTTAAGTATTCTTTAAGGAAAATGCATGTACTGGTATTTAGACCTCATATAAATCTAGAAGGTCTGATAGTTTCTCTTATATTTTTGAATTTCGTAGTGTTCTATTTACAAATGCAAGTTTGGGGAACACAACAAGCCCCTCCCTCTCGTTTAAGTGACTAACTCAGTGCTTGAGCTCGCGACTAGAGTACTAAGGTCAAAGTCACTTATCGATGCATTTTTCCATCTCATTTAATGTGCCAGTTTCTATACATCTCACGATCTCGAGAAAATGATTATATTACAAAGTTTCCAATGGATTAATTTGTTTGTTGCAACTCTGTTCTTCAAAATATAGTACAGTCTGTTCAGTCAGCGGGCTACCACTTGGATTGAAGGAAAACGAAACAAAATTGTAAACACAGACAGGTGATCTATTCTTGATACGATATTTCATATCCTCGATCAGAAGACCAACAGTTTGAAGATTTCAGATCTAGATTTTGCCAGTGGGGTGAGATCTTTGAAATCAAATTAAACCTGCCCTTTACACTCCACACCCACATTCTGATGCAAAGCGAAAGTTTTAATCCATTTCAAACTTTCGAAGGCCACAGTGATATCTGGCGGTTCATCAACCCTCCTTTTACAAAAAACCTTAAACGAGTTTTTATTCTTTGATTTTCCTATTTCCGAATCAGTCATTCCCGCAGTTCTACCGATGTTCACATTTCCTAATTCGTGCAGCTCTGTTTTAATCCAATCAGAGATAACTGTCATTGCGGGCTACCCTTTTGGTGCAAGGAACCGAGCTTACTCGACACATTGTGTGTGCGCGCGTAGCAAAACGGTAATCAGTTCATTAATCTAGACATTTATATAGATTTGCTTTCAACAAGTGGAGTAACTGAACATGAACGAAAAAAAAAACGAGGGTAGACAAACTCGGACTCAAAACAAGTCTAAAGAGAGTTATTACAGTAGCTATACTCCGAGTTTGCCCTTTGGACCGCCACGATCTTTATTAAATATGTCCAAATCAAGAGAGAAACATTGAAACTTGATGATAAAAGAAAGCGAAAACAATATAAAAATTAGATGATATTAAAATTTGCAAAAAGATATTTACCTCCAACACGAGAATGCGCTTGTATCGAACTGATATGCCATTCGCCAAGTTGTTTAGTACAATTTCAGAAAACCATGTTGAGTAATTGAAATTAAAAATATCTGTATATATAGGACTATTGTTCCTGAATATTCTTCACATAACTACAAGGCAAATATTTTACGCCTGGCCTGGAAATGTAAAGTGAAAAAACGCTAGGCTATGTTTTTTAAGCTCACATTTCGGTTCCCTACAACACCACAGGACACTTATTGCCTCCTAGACTTACGAACCGTAGGCCAAGTTATTTTTGCAGCGCTATTTAGATGAAAAGAAAGTTCATAATATTCTCGCAAAAGAACAGCTTTTGCTGATACTTCTTTCAAACTGAACTTCACTAAATGAAGAACAATTAATTTCCTATCTTCACATTTTAATAACACACGAAAGTTTGACTCCTCGCCTTTAAAATAAACACAGACACACCCCTAGCCTCTCTTTGTTCATTTTTCTTGAAGCAACACTCCGTCTCGTTCCATACCATACCTACACTACATTGAGACATTTTTTTTTTCTATTTTACAGGCATTTCCTATCAGGTAGGCAAACTAAACGCATCAGAGACACGTCAAGGATGGAATTGCAACAGCGGATGCAAGGCTCCACAACATTGTACACTGCCACGCTGCACTAACGTGGTATTTCCACACACGTTTAGTGGATCTGGAACCGTAAGTAAAACCTAAGAAATTAAAAATTACCGTATTTCCCCCAAAAATAGCCGCGAGCGACTATTCGAGGGAGGCGATTATTTCAAATATTGCTCACTAGAAGTCGTTCCCCAAATATTTTGTTTCATTATCTACTAAGTAATAATAGAAAAATAATCACATCAAATATACTAAGCATGGGTTAGTTTTCCAAATATGGCTCCTTGCATTGGCAGGAGCAATCCTTTTCCTTGGTTGTTTTTCAATGTTAATATCCTTTGCGTTAGAGCTTGAATCGTCACTGATCAGTTTTGCTGGATGAGATTCCACTTCAGCTTTGTTTGTTATCCAACGTGCCAATTTTTAACTTGGCGGGGAGAGGATGAAAGAAAGAGAAGATAGCAAGAGAGGTGGGGGTAGGGAGCGGTTATTTGAGGGGGCGATTAATCGAGGAACGGCTATTTTTCGAGGAAATACAGTAGTCTAATCTTAAGGGATGGCGGCAACTTTCTTTTGTTAGCAGACCACAATAAGCTTCTTAAGAAACTAATGTTTGCAACAAATTTTGATTTGCCAATTTAAAAAAATGAGGCTTTTGTAACGTTATGACCTCAAACAATTTAGTGCGCATAGGTATGTTCAAGTGCTCCCTAATCCCTAGGATGCGTGTGTTTTCAGAGAAAACAAAACAATACGAAACAAAAAAAGCCAGAGAATTCTGACAATAAAAATAGGCTAGAAGACCTTTAACCCTTGGAATGGGGTAGGGAATGGAGGTGGGCGGGATGTGCTCGATTGGGAGTGGAATTAGACTCTTTTTCTTTTCAGATTTAGTGAGAGAAGTGCACCCACACACAAGCGTGGAAGCCGCCAGAAGCGCGCGAGAAACGAGGACAGCAGTCTCGCCCTTTCAGTCACGCGCGTCGTCAGTTGCGTTTCTCGCGTGTTTCGCTCGACGGATTAAGAAAAAAGAGAGACTGCTCGTAGTCTAGGGTTGAATTTTTGCCTGCAAATTTTCATTGATGCTTATCTTTACCTAACGCATTTCAGGTTCGAGTCTTTGTGTCATTAAGCCACCAAGATCAGTCATCAGATGCAGTTCATTCACCTTCCGCCGTGTGGGCAGAGTCCATAAGTACAGCTGGATTTCAGTTATGCTCGCGTGCAACAGGCTCTACAAATGACACTGGCATTATCAACTGGGTAGCATTCCAGGACAAACCCATGTTAACGCATGGAAGCGTTACTTTTAGCGGAATATGGACAACAGAAACAAAGTGTGAGAAGGTGGCCTTTTCTCAGGTTAGACAACAATAATTGATAACAAGTATTTAATTTTGTTATAAAGGTGTAACACGGACATAGCAAAGTACATTGCTAAAAGTCTTTTTAAGCTTTCTCTCGGGCTTAGTTTCAAACTTTTCCTTCCATCGCCTTTAGATAAGCCATTTTCATGTTTTACTTTGGAGGTAGTGATTGAATAATGCTTGACCGTTTTGAATGTATTGATGTGTTAAAGGTAATTTGGAAAAAAAAGTCTATTTTTTTAATGATATTAAATTTTTAGCATTAAACTTAACACAGTTGGCCCGAAAAGGAACATTGTTGTTTGTAACTTTATTTAAGTAATGGGGCAAATAAGATGCATTCACCAATATTTTCAACACTTCGTAGAAAGAGGTGAAAAAGGGGTAGAATATTGAGTTAATGGGAATAAGACAAGTAGATTTAATTAATCTTCTCCCCTTAGCCTTTGATAAATCCTTAATTTCATTTAAGTGCCGCTAAGTACTTCATGGACACGTTCCTGCTGATTTATCTTTCGAGAAGCTTGTTTATTTTTCAATCTATAGTTTTTGATATATTGAACATTTTTTTGCAGAGCTTTGCTTCCAAGCCTCGTGTATTTGCCTCTGTTAAGTACACTCGCAGTACAAAGCCAAATGACGCTATGTACTTATGGTTAGAGAACGTCAACTCTGGAGGATTTGAAGTGTGCTTAAGGGAATTCTTGCCCTTTGATGGAAAACACCAAGATGCAGTTGTGGTAAGTGAAGAAAAATGTCCGAGAAACTATAGTATTGATGAAAACAAACAAACAAACAAAAAAAGTTGACTTTGCCACACTTCGGCAGCCCGGAGACCCAATTAACCAAAACGTTTTTGACGCAATTAAGGTCAGTGTCGTGTCTCACGTGTCTCATGCAGTCATTTCTTGTTAAAGGAAATGTGGTTCGAAACCTGACGCAACTCGTCTTGTAAAGAAAAGGGTAGCAAATTAAACATTATTTTCTTGTCCACAGGACTGGTTTGCATTCACTGGAAATGGGAGTCAACTTAATTTCACAATAATTGGGGAAGAAATCTTTCCAAACAGTGGAAATCCATCGGCCAAAAACAACTACGGCTTCTGTCAGGTGAAAACTTTAGTTCTAACAAGAACATTTAGCAAGCCAAAGAACACTGATTTTTTAGTGGTTAAGTTCACACTAAAGAAAACTTAAAATACAGTAAACCCAAGCTTACCAGGCCATGCTAATCGACATTGTATTCAAAATGGCAATTCCCAGATGAGTGCGACATGTTTATCTCGCGATTTTGATGTTGGCATATTTCACGATTCTTAAATTTCGTGACTTTGCGAGAATTTTATATTTTGAATCTCTTCAATTTCGCGTTGTAGACAGTGGGCGAATATTAGAAGTGGGGACTTTACAGAAGATGGGCAAAAATAGAGGGAGAAGTGAGCACGTTCAGATCCATTTACTAACTTACATGACTTTTTTTACCTATTTCCAGGAAGTGCCTTTCAATACGACCTTTTACAAATCGCCAATTGTGATTCTTTCCGTAAATCATGAGTATAATCTTAAGGTCAAGGGAAGTCGTCCTCCAGAGAATAATATAATATCAGCCTGGCTAGAGGTAGGTTTGCTTTTTCATTCTAACCTGAGAAAACAGCCGGCCCGACATTTCGCGCGACGCCACCACTAGTTTTCCCACAAAATGAGGAAAACCCCGAAAACCCCGTTTCACGACGCAATTACTGGCTTTCCCGTGAAAAGACGTCTGTGGAACGAGTGTAGAAATTCCATACTGATGACGTGTACTTCCCAGATCAAGATAGTGCTTCTGATTGGTCATGCTGCAAAATAAATTTTCTTTAACCACTCAAAAGCACTGTATGCCCAGATCTGCGTAGTGACACATCATCAGTACGCAATTTCAGCGCTCGTTCCTCAGACGTCTTTTCACGGAAAAGCCAGTAATTGCGTCATGAAACAGGGTTTTCCTCACTGGGTTATTTTCTTGATGGTCACTTAAGGTTAATGATAATGAACAGGGACTTTTTCAGTGCTTTGCTACATTATTCTATTCAATTGTTTGCTTGAACTCTCACGACACCTTTGAGACCCAAAAGCCCATATCCCTTGTTCAATCAGGGGAGAGAAGAAATCCGTTTATTCTAGTAAATTTGTAAAAGGACTGTGAAAACTGTGAAAAAACCATAAGAAAACAATAATTTGGATCTGATCCATGAATTTCATGACTTAAAGGTATCGTCGTAGAAATCAAGAAGATATTATGGATTTTCTAGTAACTGATGAGTGCTATCACATTTTGCTGTAGGAAGTTGGATTAGAATCTATGAAGGTCTGCGTTAAAGACCTCAGTGGATTAGGATCGAGTCATGATCCCTTGATTGTCAGCTACGCTGTTACTGGAGGTTGTTTATAATTTTCCTATTGTAATGATCACTATTTCTAGCAAGAACTATTGTTATTTTTATTATCATTATTACTATTATTTTTATTGATACCTTTTAGAAGTTCTTATATGTAGGAATACATTTCATGACATAATTAAAGAAACACTGGAGTAAAAACACTGATATACCTTATTCATGTTACACTCTATCTTTGCACGAACTTTAAGACTGATCATTGATGGGATAAGAGCAATTAGAGGGCACACAAGTAATAAAATTGCCAATACTAGTAATCGAGTAATCGCGGTCGGGTTTGTTTATTCCCTCAAAAAAAAAAAAAAAAAAAGACGACCATTTTTGTCACGCAAAATGCAAATGTAAACTTTGACAAGTTTTACGTCACAATTCCTTGCTGTGAAGATTTCTACTGTCGCGTACTGTATTCAAAATCACTTCCACTCATATTTTGCCATTTTCGTTTTTAAGGTCAAAACGTCTTAATTTTCTATAGTGTAGATAAAGCAAACTCGACTGCATTCTTTTATTTACTGATTTTATCTCTTGCTTGCCCCCTGATAAACCACGTAACATTGCTTTAATTTATTCCACCAGTCCGAAGCACGTGCAGAGATGGCGGGTATCGTTAATAAGGTCTACTAAGGATAAAAAAAAAAGAACATTAGTAGAGGTACCTACAAGCAAACATGTTACTACTACTGAACAGTAACTTAGTTTTAATTGAAATATGAAAAATATATTAGACATTTATGTTTTTTTCCAAATGGATAACTACTCAATATTATGTTTCTTCTTTCTTGGTACAGACCTTAATCCTTGCCTTAATGTGCATTGCCCACGATTTGGAGTCTGCAGGACCTACAGTCCGCATGACGCTCGCTGTGAGTGCGACGACCAATGCCCCTCATATAAAGATCCAGTGTGCACTGCAAACGGAACAACTTACGACAACCGATGCTGGCGTAAGTTAAGCTATTGCAGAGGACTTGAAAATAATCTGGTTTATCACCCTGGAAGCTGTGAAGGTATAACGAAAAATAATTTCAACGATTTGTTTTGGCTGTATTTGCCACATAAAATACTCTGGGAGTTAAGCTCTCGATGGCTTAGAATTATAGCTGTTAACGTTGGCTCAAAATTGATTGGCTTCAAGCTATGATGTTTATGACTTTTCGTTACTTTTAAGCTCGCTTTTAGCTCCTCACGCAGGCTAAACAACAATAGACAGCTGTAACAAGCTACTTCGTCTCTCTGCTTTGGCAAACAAACATATAGCAGCCCAGACTATAGTCGATGTTTGATCTGTGTAAGATCTTTTATTCTCTTTTGTCTTGCAATTTAGTTTTTATCGCGTAAAATTAGTTTTTCACAAATTTGCTTGCTGCAAATATTGTGCAAGAAAGTGCAAAAGAGGAGGAAATCAAAGACAAAGGTAGTAAATATCGCATTTACATACCAGTTTACATAGAGTTGCATAATTAAAGGCAAATGCAGTATTTACTATCTTTGCCATTGATTTCATCCTCTTTTGCACTTTTTTTGTACCTTATTAGCACTGAGTGAATTTGCTGAAAATCAAATATTTCCCGCAGTGGCGCGGGCTCCCAATATACTGGTATATGTTTATCTTTATACAGGCATATGTTTATATTGGGCACTGAAACCAGCACGCAATATTAAGCAGCCACTATACACTTCCTTGTTGAAAGGTAGCCGACATTACAAGTTATAGCCTAGTTTTAGTTCCATTTCCACGCTTTTTTATCACCACCCTTCGCCACTTAGAGTTGCACTACAACGCATGCTAGGGAAGCTACGTAAGCGATAATGCTTAAAGAGCACAGTGATGCTTCCTTATAAAGTAATTAATTTATTACAAAACAGGTTTTCCGATTGTTCGGGGCCGTGTAGATCTGCTACAGGTTCCAAAATGGTCAGATTCAAACTGTCAGACAGTCACATTTCCTCCATACCGGTTTTATCCGGATAAACAAGTTCATGTTCTAATAACCGTCAATCACATGAAGCTGAATGACTCTGTGACAGTCCACGACGCTGTTACTTCATGGACAGAAAGTATCAACACAAAAAACTTCACCGTCTGTGTCATGCAAACCGGGAGGAAAGAAGAAGGCGCGAATCCATTTGCCACCATTGATTGGGTAGCTTATCAAGGAGCACCACCCGAAGGCTTGACGGGAACGGTTGAGTTGCAGAAATGGTGGTCTGGTACCAACTGCGCAGATGTAACCTTTCCTACGGTGAGATGGGAATGTACATACTAAATTAAATAATTGATGCAAGTTCAATTGAGGTCTCCATGACGAATGTTAGACTTTCATTCATGTGACATCTTTAATCCATGTCTTGAAAAAAAAAAAAAAAACAACAACAACAACAACACCAAAAACAGCAAAAAGCAAAACAAATAAATAGTAAATAATTGGAAAATTGAGTCTTGTGACCCTTATCCTAAACATGACAGATTTAATCACGACTGGTCTGGGTAACAAAAGAAGAAAAACATCAAGAGCGAAACTGTGAAGGAGAGACCTCCTTAACATCCATTTCAACAAAATGAAGCGCTAATCTGATACAAGGAAGCAGCTTATAACAACAACAACAACAACAAAAAAAAACACAAAATATTTGAATTAACTGAATGTGGAAAGACAAGAATTCACATCTTAAGTTAAAGAACATATTAAAACTTTCCTTGAACTAGAAGAATGAGACACAAAGTTAACAAAAAATAATCGATCATTACGAGGTAACTGGGGAGATGATTGCTAGATCCTCTAAAAAGTTGTGACCGACTTAGCGACTTAGTTAACAAGACAACATTAGGTAACAAGTAAGAATGGGAACGTACTTAGTGGTTAGTTTCAAGTAATTTTGCAGCTATATTAAAAAAAAAGCTGTTTTGATTGTTGTTATTGCTTTTTCTTCAGGGCAAGTTTGCCGAGGCGCCAATAGTCCTTGTGACGTCAGAGCACCTGAGGACTGGTAAAGAGTATGATGCTGCTCTCATTTGGATTGAAGACGTAACAAAGGACTCAGTTAAAGTCTGTCTTCGTGAAATGCAAAACTTTGACGGTAGACACGAAGATATCACTGTGGTACGTTCTTAGTCAGATTTTAAAAAACTGGAACGCGACTGTCCACAAAATTTGTGAGGAATGCTCGCCTGGTTTTGTTAAAAATAACAGCGTTAAGAGGAAAAAGCATTGCTAATTAAAAATTGTCCGGTCGATCGCGAGTGATGATCAGTCAAACGAAAGGCAATGCAGAAAGAAAAACATAAAAAGAAACGGAAATAATAATAATAATAACAATAATAATACTAATGAATAATAATAATAATAATAATAATAATAAGAAGAAGAAGAAGAAGAAGAAATGAATTGAATAGCATTACGGGCGGTGAATTTTAAATAGCACACAAATTGGTCTTCCTTGTCCCCATGCCTCCCTTCACGCTCTTACGTGATTCGCCTGATGTCTTAAACAATGTGGATTTGCATCCTTTTCTTGACTCTTTGCGCTCTTTGTTATGTCACAAATTCATAGAGTTCAAAATACTTAGATTCAAAGGGGCCTAAAAATGCTGAGTTTATTTAAATTTTTTGTTGGTGTAATACGATTCTGTCACAAGATGGGTGGCATCACTTTTGTTTTTACCTCTTTTCACAGAACTGGTTTGCCTTCTCTAAACTGCACAAGCCTCTTTTCACCGAACATGGTGTCATAAATTTTCCAAATGCGAACCCACCTTTGGATAAAATGAACAATGCTTATTGCCAGGTGAGAAAAGAATTCTTTGCAAAAGCAGTGAGTAGCATGCTATTCACAGCATTTTCCCTCACAGATATATCGCTTACTTACATCATTGTTTATATTTTGAAAACACTTTTAGTCATATACACTTTACGCAATAGAGATCAAAGTGACTAGAAAAGTAAAGAAGCTGGTCCACTAAACAATACTTTAAGACAAGAGGTCAAAAACTACAGACTGATAACGTCCCTCTTAAACATCGACAAAGTGTTTGAGCAACTGCAAAGTAAACAGGTGACTGTGAAACTCGACCACATCTTTTCTAGCCTAAGCAATGCTTACAGAAAGGGACACAGCTGTGAGACCACTCTACTACGTCTGAATGAGGACTGGAAGCTAGCAATAGACAGAAAAGAGCTAGTATGTATTCTATCGACTGATATGAGTAAAGCGTTTGACTCTCTCAGCCACTTGCCGACACTAACAAAGCTTGAAGCATACGGTTTTGAGTGCTCAGCGTTGGACCTCACGCGATCATTCTTTAACAACCGCCAAAATGCTCAACCCCCTGCTCTGGAACGTATTTCAGAATGACCTGCCCTGCTCCATAACTACCGCTAAACTTTCGATCTATGCGGACGACCACCAGTTGTACACCTCAGGAACTAATTTTACAGCTGTAGGGGAAGCCTTAGAGCAGGAAGATCAACTTGCCGGGTCTTGGTATCGTGATAATTTTCTACTCCCAAATCCTGACAAATTCCAGGCGATGATCCTTTATAATAGAAATATTGACATTGAAGGCTAATACACTGATATAAGCATAGATGGTAGGGTCATTACAAACATAGATTACATCAAACTACTTGGCGTCCACATCGATTGCAGAACGAACTTCAGTGGTCATTTTAGCGAACTGTGTAAGAAAGAGTCAGTAAGAAAGTAGGGATCCTAATGCGCCTGCGCAATCTTGATCCCTGCGCAGCTGTAAGTCTTCTATAAGTCTTCCATCCTGCCTTACCTTACCTACTGCCAGCTGGTATGGCACTTCTGTAAGGCCTCCAACAGGAGGAAAATAGAACGTCTTCAAGAATGTGCCTTAAGAGCGGTATACAGAACTAAGTCTGCCTCTTACCCGACACTACTAAAATATCAGGACTACCCACGTTGCAAAATGGTAGATTGCAGGATATAGCAATACTTATGAACTCAAGAACAACCTCGCCCCTACCGACTTAGCAGAACTTTTTAATTTAAATGATTCGAGGTATTCTCTGCGAAACAAGGACTTTCATTTACATACCAGATTCAATATTGTAACCTACGGCAAACATTCATTTCGTTACTTTGGACCTTTACTATGGAAGAGACTAAACAACAAGGTCAAACAATCACGCCTAGTCTTCAGTCTTTCAGGAACGCTATCAGAAATTTAGATATTTCTGGTATTTTTTATTTTTTTTTTATTAGCTTCGCCCAAAAAAAAAACACAAGCAAACAAACAAACAAACAGAAAGAACGTTGGCAGGGACACCGCAACAGCTGTGGCCAATTACAGTGGGTCAAGATACTAATAAAAAAATCAAAGCAAGAAATATTAGAAAACACAGCGATACAAGAAAAACTACAACTACATACAACAAGTTATTGGAGGAGACAAAGGAAGAGCACTGTTACATTTTAAACAGATAGACTTGAACGAACGTGGATCTTCACAACCATAAGAAACAGCTAACGCGGACTTATAATAATTGAAAATAACCGATTTAAAGGAAGCTAACGTCGATGAGCTCAAATCTATTTCATCCAATAAAACATTTCCAAAATTCCACTAGTTCTAATGAGAAAGAATTTCTGGTACGTAGTAGTTTTACATTTGTTAATTATGTATTTATTAACATTGCTGGTTGAGGATTAGTGCGTCTACCGTATTTGCGAACTTCAGGTAGGACAGAGGAGTTCACGTTCAAGACCGTGTGTCAATTTGAAAAACAAGGTTAGATCTAAAAGTTCATGCCAGTAACAAATAGGTATTAGATTAAGAGTTTGGAAACGAGACTTATAACTTATATTAAAAGGCAGTTTTAACATAAACTTAGTCGTTGGTCTTTGGACACGCTCAAGCTTGACAATGAATTCGATGGACTGCGGGGCCCAAATTTGGGTGGCGTACCCCAAATCTGGGCTAACTAGGGCTACAATTGTAGGTATAGCGTTCGTCTTACGTCGGTTCTAAGAGTGAACCTCGCGTTCCTCTTTAAGTATCCAAGTAGTTTATGAGCACGCAAAGATTGTTCGTTTAGTTGTTTGTACCATGTCAGATCCTTACTAATCCATTCGCACAGATCTTTTTCTGCAACATATAATTCAAGTGCGGTGTTGTTGAGTTTGTATGAGGATAAGATCGGCCTTGTTTTCCTTGTTATGTGCTGCGCCTTATACTTAGCTTCGTTAAAAAGGAGACCGGATGATTGAGACCAAGTTGCAAGCTTACCAAGGTCTTTCTGGAGAGAAGAGGCATCCCCCAAAGTCTTGATCTCTCTGAATATTTTTGTGTCGTCAGCGAACATCAATACTCGACTAATAGAACTGATGACTTTGAAAAGGTCGTTGGCGTATAAGAGGAAGAGGGCTGGTCCAGAGGTAACAGGAAGATCCTCTGAAGTGGCGCCGAGTACCGTAACGCGTTGGCGTCGACCTGACAGGTAAGAGCAGAACCAGTTAAGCTGGTGCCACCGAAACCGGCCTGGATTAGCTTATGGACGAGGCACCTGTGACTGACTTTGTCGAAAGCTTTAGACATATCAAAGTAGATGGTGTCAACCTGGCTGCCACTATCTAAATTAGTGAACCAATGTGATCAACAGCCTCAAGCAGGTTGGTGACGCACGATCTTCCAGTACAAAAACCATGTTGTTTAGGTAAAATTACATGGTACAGGTGGTCCTTGATGCTATTCAACACACAGCGCTTGGACACTATTGGGAGTAGAGAGATGGGGCGGTAATTTTCCTCGTGGTCTTTTGCACCCTTTTTGTGGACACGCACGACGTTAGCTAATTTCCAGTCACTCGGGAGAGACCCTAGTTGCAGTGATTTGTTGAAGATCTTACATAAGGAAGGAACAATCGCTGAGGCAGTCTGTTTGAGCAATTTAGCAGGGATTTGGTCCGGCCCTGTGGCTTTACCGACTTCTAGTGCTTTGAGTGCAGCTAGAAACTTGGACTCATTGAGAGTTAGATCGGATATAACAGTGTCCGAACGTATGCACGCTGTCTTCTCCACTGCGCTGTCGATAGTAAATACAGAGGCAAAAAACCTGTTAAACAGGTCAGCTATTCCCGCAGGTGTATCAGCACTTAATCTTGAAGGGTTTTGTGACTGGTCAGCGGGAGAGTCTGGGACGGTTACCATGAAGACATGGTCTGGGATGGGATGAGATTTAGAGTTAAGCTTGAAATTGACCATAAGTGCTTGGGATTGAATCTAAAGCCAGTGCCAATGGAGTCGTAAAAGCGATCACGGCTTTCGCGAAGCAGTTTCTTGACTTGCGTCCGCAGAGAATTAAATTTAACCGTCAGGCCGGCGTTCGGATGTGATTTAAGATTTTGGCGAACTGAGTTCTTTTTCTTGATTAGTTTTAAAATGTTACTATCTATACAAGGAACCGGGTTACGGCCTTTCAGTCTCTTCGATGCTACGAAAGTCCTTGACAGCAGCTAATAATAAGTCCTTCCAGCACCGCCCGTCATCATCTATATTTTTATGGCCCACAATAGAAGAAAGATTGATTGCCGAGAGAGCTTCACGCAAACCATCAAAATCGCCAATTGCGTAGTCGTAGTCGTAGACAAATTTGCGCGGGTGTGAGGACGCATTAACAAAAGAATTGTACTCAAACAGGACTACACAATGATCCGTAAAAACACCGGCTTTACCAGGTGACAACTTTGGTGTGTTCTGGGGCACTTCTTATCACTAGATCAAGAATGTTACTACCACGAGTCGGTGTGTGGTTAGTTTTCGTTAAGAAGTGGTCACGTAACGTCTCGATAAATGGCAGTTCGTTAGCACCTAAAGCGCTATCCACAGAGTCCCAGAATAATAATGTAATCTTCTGATCAAATTTAGCACAAAATAACTGTGACTGTTATGACCTTTGCAGATCCTAATTTTATGATTTTAAGATTTTTAAGATTCAAATATGTATTATTATGAATTACTATGTATTTTAGATTAGTGTGCCCAATTAGAATATATCATTATAATTAGTATTATCATAGATTATTATTATTATTATTATGTAATTTTAAATACGTGTCCCCAATTAACCATATACGTTTGACACTTAAATAAAGTTCTTATATCTTATTATATTGTTATAAGACATATCAAAATATCAAAATGGCAGCTTGTTCTGTTAAAATGATTAATCGCAAATATTGCTTGTTCAGTTGGGACTTCAAAAATAAACACATTGACGGGAACTGAAGCTTGAAGTGATTAAGGAACAGTGTTAAACGTTTTACGTTTCTCTTCCATGGCAGTTCGTTTCATTGACGAGAGCTTATAACTCGACTCCAACAGTTCTTGTCTCAGCCAATCACAGCACGACGGCAACTGGGAATTCAGCACCAAATCACAACGGAATTACAACTTGGATCGAGGTAAAGTTTTCCGTAATTGGGGGGGATTGTGGGGAAGTATCAAGGGAAACAAACTTCAAACCAAAATTCCAAGAAAGATATAACTGAACAGAGAAGCACGCTTGGTTGAGGCGATGTATTGGTCGATAATAGGTGTGGCGCAAAAATGTGTCGAGTGAAGTTGAGATTGCTTATCGGCTTCCTTTTGACGTTAATTATCGAATACGATTATGGTGTCGGTACAAATAATAATATCTTTAAATTATCAGCAGGGGCCGCGCGCGGTGGTCTCGAACTTCAGATCTGATTCTGCGGTTTTAAACGATACTTTAGAGCTCTTTCCTTGGACACGAAACTTTGCTCCCATCATTCATCAACAGGGATATTTAGCTCCGTCCTTCTGGGCCTCATAGCTCATTTGTGCCACTGCCTTGCCCCTTATTAGGGTAAAAAGGATATTTTGGATAAAATTTCGAACATTAATTCACCATATATTTTTTTATACCTTTGTTATTTCTGAAGAGTTCTTTAATTACTTTCATCAAACCACATTGTTAATTCACGGCGAATCTTCGCATCTCTACGTTACATAAGAAGACGTAGGAGAACGTTTTAAAAATATTCTGGTATTCTCTTCCCGTTAATTCAGTTGTTTATGACTACAATTTTAGCTGTACTAAATTACGTTGAGTGCTTATTATTTTTTTTCAGAACATGAATACCTCTGGATTCAGAGCGTGTGTCAAGGAATTATACGGGACCAGATATGACCCCTTGTCCGTCAGTTATGCCGTGCTCACAGGTCTGTAATATTACTGAGTTCATTTATGAAGTAGTTTTTAGCAAATGAAAAAAGAAACTTTATTTGTTACCGGATTCATCTGGAAATACTTTGGAAATGCCGTAAACTAATAACACAAAGCAAGTTGATGGTTTTGCAAGTCATGGCGGAGTCAAGAGAGTGTACCTGTTGACATAAAAAAAGATTCTTGAAATTCTTTCAAGTTATAATTTTCCTACCCCTTGAAGAATTTCACCGTTTAATTAAAAGTTTTCTTAAAGAATGAATAACGAGGATGAAAGACCTTGCTAGAAATTAGAAGCACCATGCTTAAAACAATCGTTTGAATTTTTTGTTTCTTTAAAATATTACAGTCTGTACATAAAAGTTCGATATATTTTATCTCTATGCAAGTGGTATATCCCTGTCGCTAGTCTTCTATCCAATAAATCCAATAATATCTTATTAGTACCTTGAAACCATTAAGCTTTGGAAAACATTTTCTCATCACACTCCTAACAGTACTGCGAGTGACATGCTGCTAAGGATTTATCAATGCGGCAGTTTATTTGAATGAATATATTTTTGACGCTTACGTTTATCTGTATTTCGCAGACATCTGTGAACCTGGCTGGAACTATTTCAACGGCTTTTGCTATTTCACAAGTAAGACTTGTCAAAATTGGACCACAGCACTGGATAAATGCCGACAAGAAAACTCAGTTCTTGTTGATGTCCAAAATAACGAAGAAAATGTGTTTTTACAGCATCTACACAATGGAGCAAAATCCTGGCTGGGATTGAATGATATTTTCACAGAGGGCTCCTTTACTTGGGCAGATCGTGGTACTGGGAACTTTACAGCTTGGGCTAAAAACCAACCGAACAATTTTCGGGATGAAGACTGTGTGCATACACTTGGTGTTGAATATAAATATGAATGGAATGACGTGAAATGCAGTGACTGTCATCAGTATACTTGTAAGAAAGGTAAGATATGATGTATAAGTTTAGGAATGCATAAGATAGAAGAAAGTCTACTTAACAAAACGCATTGTGATGTGTTAATCGTGATTAATATATAGTTTTTTTTTCATTTTGAACAGATCTGAATGAATGCAGTAGGGACAAGTATTACTGCCGTCAGGTCGCCAGCTGCACAAATTATCGTGGTTCATTTACTTGCACTTGTGATCAAGGCTACTTTGGAGACGGCTTTGAGTGCGCAGGTATGATCAGATATAAAATTGCAGCACTGCATGTTAATGATGAACAGGAAGTTGATTTATAGTAATCTATTCTCACTGGAGCCATCAGCAAACAATGCCCATAATCCCAATAATATATGGGAGACCCAGCCGGAGACGGTAGGAGCGGGGAGCTCCAGGTAAACAGATAGTTCTTCAATGCGGAGAAATGGGTGGGGCGTGTAAAGAAGTGTACGAAACACCGAAAAGACTGAGAAGGCTATTAATTGCGAAGGGAAACTAGCGTTATACAAGAAACCCACCATGTACAAAAAAGGTATAGGATAGCCACGGGCTATACGCGGCGCGCTAGTATCACTCTCTTTTATTGCTGAGTTCTTATGTTTTCAATGGCCATCATTCAGTAGCTTCTACTGCTTACATGCAACGTCTAAATTTTCGAGTGTCTTTTTATGATTTCCCAAACTCCCATTCTAAACGACACGCTTTGGAGAAGAGTAGCTGAGCAGGCGGCATGGTTACCTCCTCCTTCTTACGAGGCTAAAGTTTGCTTTTTAATTCGGTGGCTTGGTTAATATTTTGCATATTCGGCCTTATTATTACCCCTAGTTTTAGACTCTTGTTCTGAGGGAAGTAATTCGAGGGTTGATAGTATTGTCTTGCAAGGTAAGAATCCGATTCGCACTGAAAAAGAGCTTTTAAATTCCCGGGTCCGTTCCTTCACTTTCACTATTAACCGCCGCCCAATTAGCTCAATTGGATAAGCGCCGGTCTGCCAACCGGGAGGCCACCAACTCAGGAGTCTTTAAATTACTGAGGAGAAATTGTTTCCTCTGAAAAGACATCTGCAAACGGTTAAACTTTTTAGTTTTCTCAGATAAGGGCGATAAACCGTAGGCCCCGTCTCATAACCGTTGCACGTACATTATTTTGGGACGTTAAAGAACTCACGCTCTGTTCGTAAATAGCAGGGGACCTGTTCTTCGGTGTTGTGGTCTATCTCCCATGGTGGGCGGGACTGTTATGGGCCTTCGGGTAATAGGCGCTGCACCCTGTTGCGGTGACCCTGCCCAGAATTAGTGAACCAAAGGAAATAAATTAGTGATAACTTTGTCTCTAACTTTTGTAGGGGGTTTGAAACAGTCTACTATTGTGGGGAATGATGCTAACTACTTGTAATATTTAAGCACCTGGCTCAAACCAGTTGCTCAGAGCAAATATTCACAATGGAAGCGCTGTTGGCGTGCGTCCGTGGACGGTTGGGCTGCCAGTACTTTTCATAGCCGTTGTGACAACAAAGGACCAACTGTAACAATCATAAGAGTCGGCGGGAAATACATATTTGGAGGCTACACTAGCCTCTCATGGGGTAAGAGGTTTGGTTTTTCTAAGACTGGACATTCTAAAATTGTCTAAGGAAGTATTTGAAGTAGATAATGTTATTACCACGAAAAGGACTAAAAAGAGTGCATTCACGCTGTTTCAAACTTCATCGCCCTTATTCTTTTTCGGTCAATTCGCCAAATGCAGGAGAATTATTCTGGGTTTAAATTCGAAAGGTTTCTACCAAATATTAGAACAAGAAAATCGTTGTCTTGTGTTCACGTACCCCATAAAACTAAAACTGGGACGTTTGACGTCGTATTCGTGCAGCGAATTCGCCGACAATTAAATTCTGTATTGACGTATTTTCTATCCGGAGTTGTTTATGTTTAAAGTGTTTTTTAGGCAAAGTATTCCACTCAAGTGTCGTAGTAGTTTAAAAAATCAGTGAAAATGACTCGAAGGCGATTGTGAATTGATGAAGGCTTAAATTCCTAAGGCTTCCCTTTCCGGCTCTTAAAACTGAAATGAAAACTTTATGTAAAAAGTGAAAATTAGGTAGGGAAAAATTATGACTTCTAATAAAGTCTTTTCTTGAAAAATAAACTAAGAGAGCATTTTGATCAAAGCTACGTATACTGATCTCAACCTAGATAATAACATGAAATCTTTCTACGTCTCCTGTTTTTTTATCTCACCAATTGTATGACGCACACTTAATTCTATTTTAGCGCACAGCCAGTCTATGCAGTCGATGCCCAGGCACTACCACGATTTTAAATGTTCTTTTTTCAAACTATTTTTTTAAAATTCATTTTAAATCTTTTAAATACATTTTGTACCTCTTTCATTTAGAGTCTCATCCTATCTTTTATAGAGTTTTTATTGTAATTGTATATTGTAAGTAATTTTATCCTTATCTTTCATTTTAGTTCTACATCGTAATCATTTTCACACGGTCCCTCAAGAATTGAGCTTTAAGTGTTTAGAGTTTAAGTAAAAGAAATGATGATTAAGATGTTGATGGTGATGATAATGATAATGGATTATGAGTAAAAAGCTTCAATCTGTATAAATCGGTGTGTTTAAAAAAGCTGCCCAAAGATCGAGGATACAATTAACCAACATTATTATTCACTCAAAATATTTCTCCGTTTCTGATTGGCTAAAACCACACGCATAACTCACCATAACCAGCTACTGTTGACCAAATTTGGGAGAATTTTGCGATTAATCAACCGGTGACGTCAAAAGTGCGGGACATTTGCAGGTTAATGCACCTTTAACCGAGAAGACGTGGGGACGAGGTTGAGTTGTTTTTGTTGTGAAAAGAAAAAACAGTCGGCAGAACATTTTACTATTTTCACGACGAACTATTGTCTAAAAAAAGCAAGAAGACAACCCGACGAATAACATCTCCTATTTGGAGTGTATTTGCAGACCTGAACAGCCCTTTAACTTCTAAACATGCACTATCGAGGTGAACTTAACATCGACGAAGGTAAGCATGTTTTAGCTTGTTTTTAAAATAGGAATTATTTGGAATGAACATTAAAGCAATTAATGAATTCGGCTTTCGCTGGATATATAACAATTATTCACCGAAGTGGAGGAGGCTAGTTGTAAAATAGTGAGATAATTGAGCACAAAAATGATTTTTAACTCATTTACTGTTGCCAACGATTACAATTTTCACGCAATGACAGAACGGCCGCGGTCGTCGCTTTTTCTTGCCGACAAATAAAACTTTTTAAGGCATTTGTTTAGCTCTTACGGGGAAATTTATTTAAAAGGAGTTGTGAATTATTTTTGTATTTAAAATCATTCTGTAAAAAATATTATTAAATTTAGTTTTGAACTTACTTACGAACAAGTCAACAAGTCAGAAGTGGCAAGGAGACCTAACAGAAACTATAGGAGCTTATGAGAGGTTAGGCCTCCTCGAACTACGGGTTAGAGCTGTTTAACATCAATTAAAGAAAATATGGCGAAGAGTCGAAGATGGAAAGATTTATGAACTGTTTTCATATTTACTCACTAATTTAATCGTCAGTTTTTTTCTTAAAAGAGGAAAGGGAATGAGAGTTGATGACCTCGTTGTCAAGTGAATTAAAAAACTTATGCCCTTGAAAAAAGGGCGAGAGCTTGTTAGTGTTTGTACGACAATACGGTAGACGGTAGGCCTGAATATTTACCGATAAATTCAAGGCAAAAAGACAAAGATTTACCTGTTAAAACTTCCAAACCGAACTTCGTCATCTTCTTCGTTTGTTTCGGGAACAGCTTACTTCATTAATTGTCAAATTTCTTTGTTTGTTACGCCAGCAAAACGGGAAGGCATTTTGCACGCAACTTACGAGAGTTTGGCGTCGCTCGCTCGGAGGAACTGGAGGTGAATCAGTGAATAGCATTGGATATTCACTGATTGAGTAGCCAATCAGAGCGCGCGAAAAACACTACCCACTGTTTTAGTTATTCTAAAAGGAATTATGCAGATCTCTGGGGGTGTTATCCACCTCGGCTGATAACACCCTCTTCGATCTGCATAATTCTTCAGAATTCTTCTCAGCCTCATTCATTAATTGCTAAACATACAGAATGAGGGCTACTTTAGTGTTAACTATTACAAGTGTGTATCTCTTCTTTCACCCATTCAAGTTTCCATTGCACATATTATTTCATGTACTTTGTCACCAAAAAGCAAAACCGTACCCTAGCGTTTTTAAACTGTAGCTTAACTATAGACTACGACCAAGACAGCAGGGGGTAGTTCGGAAGGTAATTTCGAAGTACAGTGTAACCTCGGCATAACGGAGTACCAAGAAACCGGCAGAATTTGTTCGCTATATAATGAGGTTTCGTTTTATCGAGATTCTTTTCCATATATTTTACTATAACTAGGGTAAAGAAAATCGTTAGTCACATCAAGGTATTAAACATATAGAGGTTTGTTATATCGAGGTTCCACTCGGCTGTAGTAAACAAAAATTAAACAATTCAAGCCTTTATATCGGGGTGCCGACAGCTTAATACTATTGTGCAATTCATCGCACTTTTCAATTTTTTTTGTTTTTAGCTTTTCAAATAAGTACCAGTTTGAATTCTTCCTTCCAAAAGTAAATACTTAAGTAAGAATATATTTAGTATTTAAAACGCACTTTTCTCAAGACTGACATCTTTGCTACTTAAAAGGGAGTTAATTATTACTAGTAGTATCAGATATTTTCTTGTCTGTATGAATTCAAATTTTTAAACAAAGTGTGTGCGTTGATAATCCTTTTCATTTCTTAATTTCCCAACAGGTTATAGCAGTTGCCAAGGGTATCGATATGATTCGCAAGCATTTATTTTCTCGCTTGTTAACAAGCCAGGATGGGCACCTGTGAAACTGCCTCAGACAGGGCAGTATAGTTTTTACAGATATTCCATTCACGACTGTTCGTCTTATGGACCTACTTTCGGTGGAGGCAACGACATTTACATTTGCGACTACGCGTCATCCAGTGGCAGTTCCTCTACTTACCCTGGCCATACTTACAGCGCACCAAGTGGGTACAGCTATGGAAGCACCTTCGCCTATACATTCCTGCACGGTCAAAGTAATACCTATTATTTTACACCAGACGAGGTAGAAACATTTTACGAAACAACCTAAGAAGCGTGGCATCCTCCTAGTCTGATTTGCAAAACACTCACCTGTTATGTTTTTTTTAATAATGAGCTGTCTGGTCAGATTTGGAGTAATATCAAGCTTTACGTTATTTTCTTTTTGTGCTTCACCCGGCTTCCTTGAACACAATAGAGTACTTAATGATTTCAGAAGCATATAACCAATTCATTTCGGCAAATCGTGACTAAGGAAACCAATTTTTGGGGGATACAATGAAGTACTACGAAGTTCAGGTCTGATATATAAACTGTATAATCTAAAAAAAAAAACGAAATAGTTGGAAAGCGATATATCTGTAGACGTAATTATTTAAGTTTAGCTTTGAATTTTACGTTAATGCATAGCCTAATTAACTACTCTTCATAATGATTGATTAATAGTTAAAAGGGATATCAACCCTTTTTTACTGTAATCATGTCCAAGTTGTTTAATTTTAGGATGAGCCGATTACAATTTAAAGTAATTGACTTCCATAAATTTATTAAAATATGCCTTGAAAGTATGGATTGTAACAGCGGGGAACGATAAAAATCCAGTTTGTAAGTGACTTGTTGTCTTACTTATGTCTTTTGTTGATGATTTGTTGAGTGGGTCACGGCTTAGGGGTTGTATCGTCTTTTTAATGGATTTCTTGATTTAAGTGCCGTATTTTGAAGAAAGCTATGCTTGAGATAAAGCCTCCCTTTATTTTTATTCGCATCAAGAGTCCTGTTTGGGTTTAGAGTCCAACCCCTGAAGTTCTGTTGCAACATGTCATTGGCCATCTTGTGTTTGACTTGTACAACCACGTAGGATTGTGTCTCAGCTGAACTTCCTGTCCAATTTGGAAAAAAAAAATGGGTGGAAAAAATTATGAGGACGATCAAAATTGCCCAGTTTGACAGTCCAGTCCAATTTGGCTGTCAGAGGAATTTTTTGAATCCAGTTATTTCCGAATTGAACAGCGTGTAGTCCTGTTACATATACTAATTTTTGTTTTGGCCGATTGCCACATTATAAGTGGCCAAGATAAAAAAAAAATAAATGTTTACTTTGTTTTGGTTTTGACCCCAACCAACCGCAACGCACGAAACCGATATCCAGATATGCTTATGTCCCGGACTGTATTTAACGTTTTTTTCTATATATCTCCACCTCTGAGCAGGATTAATTAAAACAACAGAATGACTCAGCTAGAATCTTTAATGATCACGATGTCCGCCATTTTCCGATGACAAACTTTAAAAGATTTAAAACGTATGTGTTTGCTTTTTCGTTATTTTTCGATGCCCGAAGACTGTCAAGGAGCTGAACATACATATGTATAAACGTTTATTTTGAACGCCGGTCAACATTTAAACAACAAATATCACCATTCAGTGTTTTCTTGTTCTTCTTCAAAGTTTCAGTCACCTGACTGCTTGCACATTCTCCAGGACCGTTTGTACTTGCTACGCCACTACTGAGGGCGTTTTTCAATACAAATTTCATCAGTTTGATCAAACATCTTCCTTGTTAGATAGCCCCGACAAGAAACCAAAACCAAACAACAGCATTTGCTACCATAAAACTGACATTCACAGTTACAACAAGTTAAGACTCGCTAACGAACGAGACTTTTCTGGCGCGGTGTCAGAGGAACTTTGCGCTGATTGGCTAGTTTGTATTGCCCATTGTATTTCTGGCATTTGATTGTTTTAGACAAAGTGTCCTATTGTTTCTTAAATTGGACAGTTTGCTTATTTGTAAACGAAATTCCTATCCGAAACTATCCATAATTAATCCTTAATTCGACAGTTCGCTGAAATTAAAGGGTAATAGCTAGGCTGACAATATCGGATTAACTACCAGGCCCCAGTTGTTCAAAAGGTGGATAGTACTATCCACCGGATAAATCTCTATCCAGTGGATAGTGCAGTTTCCGTAATACTTATCCACTGGATAGAGATTTATCTAGTTTTTGAAAAACTGAAAACCAGAAACCAGCCAAGGAACAGAACGTTCCAGGAGGAGACAAGTTTTAAGCCAGAGGAACAAGCCATCGTTCCAAAAATGAACGGAAACGACAAAAGATCAGCACAAAAACAACAGTGTCAAGAATTGCTAATATCTTGCGGTTCATCTGTTCCCGTCGATGTTAATTTGACGAGAGTTGGCTGCCAGGTGCTATTCTATGGAGTGTTTCAGTTTGAATTTAATCGCAGCGTACTGATGAGGATGATAGCAATACCACGGGGTAGCAAAATAATAAATGAATGATAACGGAACCAATGATTCCAAAATTAAAGGTACAAACATGGAAGTCCGGCTTGAATTCGACTAAAGTGGTCATTTTGAATAACGGCACCTTGAAAACGATCGCAAAAATCCAAATGACGCCAATCAGAACCGGGCGATACGAAGAGTTATCATTCTCTTGAGTGGATAAAACACCAGGACATATCGATCCAAGGCAGTCACGAGCAAACTTCCAGTGGAGACTAAGACTGACATTTGACCAATAAACTGTAATAATCGGCAAAGCAGCTCGCCTGCGACATCCGTGATAAGCCACTGGTGACTATATGCAGTGTCGACAATGCGGGAACGGCATATACAGTGAGCAAAACATCAGCACAGGCCATGTTAAAGATGACGTAATTGCTTGGAGTCCTCGTTCTTTGATTAGCGTTTTTGTACATGACCGTGATTAACAAAGCGTTGCCGAGTATAGACAACAACATGGGAAAAAAGTTATTTTTATCCCCTTTACAAAGTCGCCTACTTGTGACCATCTCCTACGTTTGAGGCGCTTGTACTGTTCACAGATTCGATGGAAGGGCCAGGGATTTGGAAGCTCCTATACTAACCCATAATTCCGATTTTTTCCTTTACGAGGCCCCTAGGAGTGTTTTCTCTTCGCTTTAAGGCTTACCACGACTTACCACGTTTCAAGAGACTCCCAAACTGAGCTTGAAGCGATGAGCGTTTGATATTTCTTGTCTTATTAGTAATTATTATTCATTCACAATATTTCCCCGATTCTGATTGGCTAAAAGCACCCTCATAATTCACCATAACCAGTTACTGATGACCAAATTTGGAAGAATTTTGTGTTTAACGAGGAAATGACGTAAAAAATGCAGCGTTCTTGCAGGTTAATGCACCGTTAACCGAGAAGACCTGGGAACGAGGTTGAGTTGTTTTGGTTGTGAAAACAAAATGTGGCGGACATTTCACTCGTTTCAAGAGTAAGAACTATGTACAATTATAGCTAAAAACATGGCAAGAACAGCAAGAACACAACTCGAAGGGCGACATCTGCTATTTGAAGAATATTTGCGGAGCTGAACAGCCCTAAATGTGCACTATCGAAGGTGAACTTAACATCGATGGAGGTAAGCATGTTTTAGCTTTGTTTTTAAACTAGGAATTATTTTGAATGAATAATAAAACAATTATTGAATTCGGCTTTCGTATCATATGAAGAATTACGGAGATCTCGGAGCGTGTTGTCCGCCTCGACCGAGAACACCCTCCTCGATCTCCATAATTCTTCATAAGGTACTCAGCCTCGTTCATTAATTGTTAAATATTTGGTCATCTGCTTTCGGATGAGTGGTCAATAACTCGCATTTTCATTAAAACCTAAACTCTTTGCTTTTATCCTCTTTGTCTCAATCGCCAATATTTGCTTAGCGCACCTTATTTCACGTGCCTCCTCTCAAGCTTATCCGTAATGTCAATTTTTCACTTTTTAAAGAGGGCAATGCAATGATTGAAACTTCCAAGAGTTATCATGTTAATCTCACTAAAATAATTTAGACAGTTGCAACTGACGACGTCGATTACTTGTACGTATTTTATTACACACAGGCAAATTAATGCCCCAGTGTAGTTTGTAGGACACAGGCAAATTAATGCCCCAGTGTATTTGTTAAACACAGGCAAATTAATGGCCAGTGTATTTTTGTTAAACGCAGGCAAATTAATGCCCCAGTGTATTTGTTAAACACGGGCAAATTAATGCCCCAGTGTAGTTTGTAAGACACAGGCAAATTAATGCCCCAGTGTATTTGTTAAACACAGGCAAATTAATGCTCAGTGTATTTTTGTTAAACACAGGCAAATTAATGCCCCAGTTTATTTGTTAAACACAGGCAAATTAATGCCCCCGGGTATTTGTTAAACACAGGCAAATTCGAATGCCCCAGTGTATTTTGTTAAACACAGACAAATTAATGCCCCAGTGTATTTGGTTAAACACAGGCAAATTAATGCCCTAGTGTATTTAGTTAAACACAGGCAAATTAATGCTCCAGTGTATTTTGTTAAACACAGGCAAATTAATGCCCTAGTGTATTTGTTAAACACAGGCAAATTCGAATGCCCCCGTGTATTTGTTAAACACAGGCAAATTCGAATGCCCCAGTGTATTTTGTTAAACACAGTAATTTTTTGGTTAAACAAAGGGAAATTAATGCCCCAGTGTATTTGGTTAAACACAAGGAAAATAATGCCCCAGTGTATTTGGTTAAACACAGGCAAATTAATGCCCTAGTGTATTTTGTTAAACACAGGCAAATTAATGCCCCAGTGTATTTGTTAGACATAGGCAAATAACGGTATTTGTAAGACACAGGCAAATTAAGAGAGTGTCTCTGTAAGAGCGGTCCGGTCGATTTTCCTTGAGACACAGATTTAGCTCATTTCTCGTGTGTTGTAAGACATTCATGTACCTATACTAAAACCACAATCCGTTTGATCGGATCTCTTTATTTTTCAGAGTTTTACGGAAATTAAATTTCACTCGACCGAAGGCCTGTCGTGACACTTTTCAAGACGTTAATTTGAGGCAACTTTGCCGGACAATTTACAACAAACTACGGGACTCAGCAAAAAACAAATACCACAGCCATGTATATTAACTCTATCTTATCCATCGAAGCGACTTTCGTGAACATCACGTTTCAATCAAGCAAACAGGAAGACTTGAACGACACCTTTTCGGTTCGCTTAAGTCACAC